CCCCAAAACCCCAAAACCCCAAAACCCCAAAACCCCAAAACCCCAAATATATTTGATGTAATTGAATGAGTAAAAGCTTATGGGCAATAATAACCCTTTGGACAGTCAGCCTTTTGTCCATCGAAGCAGAAGGAACCTGCTTCACACTCGGTACAAGAACCCTGTCTTGTAGCAGTGTTGTAGAACCCAATTGGGCATCTCTCCTCATTTGGTGACCCTTGAGGACAGTAGTTAGTGGCTGTACAATCTGCTGCAGTGGGACTGATAGAACCTTCTGCTCAGAAATATCCTGGGGTACATGGTCCAGTTGGGGCTGAGATACCTGCAGAAGCACAATAATATCCTGGTTCACAAGCCTTACAGTAAGTTGCATCAACCAATTTTGTCATCATAGAGTATTTTCCTTGAACACAATCAGTGGGAGTTGAAGTTGCTGCAGCACAATGTTTACCCATTGGACATCTTCCATACTTTGAACTTACATCATCAAATGCTGGATTTTTGAATGGACTTCCTAATAAACAGTAGAAACCTGGGTCTCAGTCTCCTGCAGGTGCCTCCAATCCCTTCTTATCACAGTATTTACCAGCAGGGCATGGCAGACAGTCTGAGAGCGCACCTTTACTATCAAATTCATTATAGGTTCCTACAGGGCATGGAGTAGCTTCGTAATATTTGCTTGCTGAAGTCTGTGCATCATATCCTTCACAGTAATGTCCTTTTGGACATGACTGTGCAGAAATTAAGCCTTCAGTCGGACAGTATTCTCCAGCTGCACAAGAAGTACAAGTTTCTGTATTGTTTGATGGAGCATAGGTCCCTCTAGGACATGGCTTCTGGAAATCTGAACCAGTTGGAGCATAATTTCCTGAAGTGGCATTTTGTTGTTCATTAGATGATGAACCTGCAGGACAGTAAAATCCTGCTTTACAATCACCTGTTGGAGCTGGGTTTGCAGATCCTGCACAGTATTTTCCAGGTGTACATAGAATACAAGAACTATCATTCTTAGCTCCTTCCGCAGGATTATATTTACCAGTCGGACAAGGAGATACTGATGTTGCTCCTTTAAGACAGAAACCTCCTGCTGGGCAAATCTTTCCTGTAATACCATCTGTTGGATCTGGTCTGGTTGCACCAAGAATACAATAAAATCCTGAATCACACTCCATAGCAGTTGTAATAGTGATTATTCCCTTACTTCCACAGTAATGACCAACTGGACATTTAGTACAGCTTCTTGAGTCAGGATTATTTGTTGCTGTTGAATAAGTACCGATTGGGCAAAGCTCAGCAATAACAGTTCCAAGGGGACAATATTTACCTTGACCACAATTAGCTGGAGTAACAGTGGCTTCGCTTGCACAAACATATCCTGATTTACAAAGAGCACAATCCTCTGGGATTCTTCCTCCTGTGACTCCTCTAAATGTTCCAGGAGGACAAGCATTCTGAGTGCCAGTTGTTGATCCTGCATGACAATAGTATCCGGCAGCACATGGAGTAGAAAGATATTCAGTTGCGCCTACTCCAGTATAGTATCCTGCAGGAGTTTGTAAGCAATCTGATAGAGCCTTTCTTCCTGGAATTGGGTTATACGTTCCAGCAGGACACTGGGTTGAAGCAACTCCTCCTTCACAATAACTTCCTGCAGGGCATTTGTGATCAGCAAGGTTTGGAGACACATCTAGCCCATAGTTAGTTCCTGAGAAATCTTTGCTACATATAGTTCCAGCCGGACAGACTTGAAGAGTCATAGTAGCCTGAGTAGTAGCCTTATGATAGCAGTAATGACCAACAGGGCATCTTGTACAAGTCTCAGCCCCACTTGCAGAATAATAACCTTCATTACAAGGAGTAGGAGCACTCATTCCTGTGCTAGCTCATTCATAACCAGCAGGTCAAGTTGTTCATGTAGCAGCTCGTAATATATCAGAGTATGTTCCCTTTAAACAAGCATTAGGTCCTGTTGATCCAATAGGGCAGAATTTACCCAATCCACAAGGTTCATTATCATATTGACTTGTTGCTCCAGTACCACTGATATAACTTCCAGCTGGAGCTCTGTACTCAGTAGGTGTTGAAGTAGTGGTTCCTGCTGGACAGTAATATCCTGCTGAACATGTGACAACAGTGCTACTTCCAGATCCACAACCACCTCCTGCAGTACAGTTTGTACATTCAGTATCAGATTTCAATCCAGTTGTTGCTCCAACTGTTCCTGTTGGACATGGGTACTGTGTATTACTTTGAGTTCCAACTGGGCAGTAATGTCCTGTAGGACAGATTACCCAATTAGCTGAGGTTGCTCCTTCAAGGCAGTAATATCCAGCTGGACAGAGAGTACATTGACTAGCATCCCACAAGTTTGTTCTGTCAGTGTAGGTACCTGCTGGACATTTGTTAGCTGTAGAGCTAGTACTTCCAGGAGGGCAGTAATGACCTTTAGCACAAGAGAATCCTTTATAATCATAGTTTCCAGTTCCTGAACATGGGTATCCTGGAGGGCATTTCTTAGCTGCATCTGCAGAGGTAGCTCCCATATAAGGGATATAGTATCCTGTTGGGGCTGGAACCGGAGTTGTAGCTCCTTCAGCACAGTAATGACCGATCGTACATGGGTAGCAGTCAGATACCATTCTTGATCCTGTTTTGGATCCAGAGTAAGTTCCTGCTGGGCATTTGAACTGAGTTGCTGATATTGTACCACTAAAAATAAACAAAGATAGACTTACGAAGGACAGTATGAACCAGCCGGGCAAATTGTTGGCTGGGTAGTCTCTAATGGGCAATAATATCCTGCAGGGCAAGTTTTACATGCAGCGATACTGATTCCATTAGTTGATGGGTTGTATGTGCCTGTAGGACATTGAGTAGGTACAGTTGTTGAAGCAGGGCAATAATTTCCTGTTGGACATGGATATTTAGTGAAATCATCAGTTCCAATTCTGCAGACAAATCCAGGAGGACAGTTTATACAATCTGAACTACTGATAGCACCTTCAGCGATTCCATATTTTCCTCCAGGACATTTAGTCTCTAATGTTGCTCCAGAAGCTGTTTCACAGTATGATCCTTTTGGACAGATATGTTCTGGAGGAGTCTTGATAGTGGATCCAGCAGGGCAAGCATATCCTTCTTGACAAGCTGAGCAAGCAAGTTCTCCTTCAGGAGAATAAGTCCCAACTGGGCAAACAACAGGTGTTCCAGTGTCGCATTTATGACCAGCAGGGCAAGGCCAACAAATTTCAGATCCGGTTTTAGCATAAAATCCTGTTGGACAAGAATCACAGTGAGTTGACTGACTAGATCCAATCTTGCTATTGTACTTATTCACAGGACAAGCAGTCGGAGAAGCAGATTCTTCAGGACAATAATGACCAGCTGGGCATATGATACAGTAAGGCACAGACACTGGTGAGTAAGTACCAGCAGTACAGTTATTAGGATCTGATCCTAAAGTGCATGAATATCCTTCATTACAAGCTAAGCATTGAGCAATATATGGATTAAATCCAGCAGGAGTCTTAGTCAAAGTAATAGAGGCAGTTGTAGCATAATTATGAATGACTTCTTGGTTCAAGTCATAAGTTCCGATTGTTTCTCCTGATATGGATTTTCCCAAATGAGACGAAGGGCATCTTGAGTATATCAAAGCTGTACAACTATAACCAGTGGGGCAATTTGATAGAGCAGTTTCAGAACTACCTGATATCAAAGCCACTTTACCCAATGCAGTACTGGTATCATAGGATAAATAAGCATTAGTAACCCAGTCTTGGACAAATTGGAATCCAGTGGTATATCCCTTCCAGACGTATCCTTGTGGTTTAAATCTTGGGAAAGAGTCCTCTTCAGAAGAGACACTGCCAGTAGTCACAGTCTCTTCTCTCATGAAAGAGGTCAAGCAGAATTTACCTTGAGGACATTTAGCACACCCTCCTTGCTTGGGATATCTTCCATGTGGGCATATATGGTAGGTAGTTCCATCAGGAGCACAATAGTTGTTTGATGGACAAGATCTAGCAGAGATTTCAAGGTAAGGAGAGAACAGAGGATACTTCTCATCTTTACTATTAGAACTAGCCCAGGTATCCACAGCTGTAGCAACTGTTGTTTCAGCAGTCGCTAGAATATCTCATACCTTTCCTGGAGGACATGGAGTACAGTAAGGGACACCTCCAAATTTAGCATGACCATGAGGGCATGGAGTGACTATTTGACTTGTGTGGCACTGATGAGCATCGTCACATTTTGTACAAGTTTCATGCATTCCGTCAGTATACTCGTTTATTCCACATTTCTCAATATTTATTGCTCCTCTGATCTTATTGCCACCGTTTACCCAAGATGTAACTTTATAGTTAGATGGGATCTTCCTGCACTGATTCATCCCTGTGTCATCAGCATATGTTGTATGGGGACAAAGGTTCCTGACCCCTTGAGTACAGTAGTATCCGACTTGACATGTAGTACAAGTAGCAGTTCCGAGAGCAGAGTAAGATCCTTCAGGACAACGATGAGCTGAATCTTTGTTTGGACAGTATGAGTCAGCAGGACAATTAGAGCAGGTTCCAACTCCTTCAGGTGAGTACTCTCCAGTGTTACAGTTACTAGTAGAAGACTGACTAGGACAAGATTTGCCAGGTGGGCATGGAAGACAAGCAGTAGCCCCAGCAAGAGAGTAAGTTCCAGAAGCACAGCCTGATGGGCTTGCTGCTGGATTGGGGCAAATACTTCCAGCTGGACATTGAGCGCATGTAGTCTGTCCACCTGAGGTCTGGTAATATCCAAGAGGGCATCTCTCTGGAGCTTGGCTTGTTGATGTTCATCTAGACCCAACAGGACACGAGGTACAAGAAGTAGCTCCTTGCAATGAATATGTACCCGATCCACATGTAGACTTTATGCCGCTGACTCAGCTTGAACCCGCAGGGCAGATATGGCAGTAAGAATCCAGGTTATCTGAGTAATAACCTGTTGGACAGTTCTCTTGAAGATTATTAGCTTTGAGACACATTTTACCTGCTGGGCAGGCAGTTCTAGCTCCACCTGTACAAGTGTATCCAATAGGACATATATCAGTACCACTATTGCAATAGTATCCAGGCTGACTAGCACAAGTGAACAGTTGTCTTCTCATGTTAAAGTCCATCTCTTCTTGTGTCACTTCGTAGCATTCGGCTTCACCATCATAGGCTGCGTATCCCGGAGGACATTGAAACGGCTCCTCGGTATCCCCTGGGCAGTAGTAATTTGAAGGACAGATCTGACATTCTCCGTCTTTACCATAAGTTCCAGGGTCACAGCCTGCTCTTATAAATCGTATATAAAAGACAGTTACGATTGCATACAAAAATGCAATTCTTTCGAACATTTTCATTAGCTTGTGAATCTTTCTTATTCGAAATATTTATTTTTATAAATAAAAAAGGGGTTTTGGGGTTTTGGGGTTTTGGGGTTTTGGGGTTTTGGGGTTTTGGGG